AAGCATTTCCCACAGCCAACACTTCCAGTTTTGATTTTACACTATTTTGAAGCAGGATGTGTTTACAACAGGAATCCCAGCAGCAATACCCAATTCCTGCTCCACCCAGACTCTCAGAAACAACAGACTCTGATGGAGATCTGGTTTCCAGTCTCAACCTGCTGTGTGGCTTTGGCAAGCTGTTTTTTTTTAAGTCGTTTAACCATTACTCACTGCAGTGCCTACTGCACCAAGTGGTGGTGGAGGACATGGGACTAAGTGACAGAAAAGGTGCCAAGGGCGTGTCTCCGCTGTCCATGCTTGGCATAACAATAGCAATGGTGGCTCTCAATCTTGGCGTTCCAACTGTGGACCCAATGTGGACCTGAACATAACCAGCCTAACCTGGATGAGGAAACTGAAGCCTAACCTGGATGAGGAAACTGAAGCATAAAGAGGCTAAGTAACCTGCCCTAGCAGTGTTTATATGCTAAAATGGAAGTTAAAAATGAATACATGTGTCCAGTATGCATGAATATAGATAGTGAAATTACTTTGGGGAAAAAAAGTTAGAGAAGAGTAAGTGCTGCAGGATATGATATGATCAGAGATTGCTAATAGCCACTCCAGTAGAGCCCCAATTTTCAAACAGGCACATTTTTATTTCCCATCCTCTCCTACAGCTAGATGGTAGCCCTGTGACCAAGTGATAGCCAATGAGATGTATGTAGAGGAGTTGAGCGGGACTTCTGGGAGATCTGCTTAAAAGGGAAGGTCATGCCCTTTTTTCCTCTTCTTCTAATGGCCTGGAATGTAGACCTGAGGGCTGGGGACTGAGCAGCCATCTAAAGGCAAGAGGTGATATGGTAAGAATGGAGAGGCAGAAGAACAGACTGTTGGGCCAACAGCAAAAGCTTACCAGTATAGAAGAGAAGACTGGGGTTTAGGGCAGTTCCATAATCCACTGTGAGTGTAAATGGAACTGACACCTCCCATGGTATCATCTCTTGGGGTCCTGACACTGGGTGTAGTGGCAGTTATCATGGTGCAGATGCAATAGAAGAGAGATGAGGAAACCCAGCTCCTCACTTCAACATCACTAAAACCTTTCCATAAACAATTAACAAAATAAACTAGTAAAAGTATAAAAGTGAAGATAAACCTACACATTATAGAAATTTTGGAAAATAAAGTAGAACAAAGAAAAAACTAACATTTTGGTCTCTCTCCTCCTAGGCTTTCCCCCCCTCCTATCATAGTTTCTCTGTCTTTTGTTTCAATGTAGTTGTGATACTACTTTCTGTAATGATGCAATTTTGTGTAGCTGTTTTCCCTTAACATACCATGGGTATGTCCCCATGTTATTATTAATTTTATTTTGCAATGACTGTGTACTCTTCCATGAAATTGATGGACAGAAGTACCAACGGTTGATCACCAATGCTATTATTAATTTTCCACTATTATAAATAATACTAATTTTTCACTATTATAAGTAGGTGAATATCTTTGCACATGAAGCTTTTCCCCAAAGTCAAGTAATTTCCTTAGGTTTCCCAGAGGTGGATTATTGGATTAAAGAATATGAACCACCATCCTACTAAAAAAATTGAGGGGCAGTAATACGGAAAAAGCCCACAACCTGAGGCCCGTGGAGCTATGTAAGTTAAGTGCTTAGGGCAATGCCTGGCACACAGGGAGAGGCTGGTGAAAGATGACTGGCCATGGGCATTTCAACATCTCAGAAGGAAGCAGATTCCAGTACTTACAGTGGCCAACCCCCATGGCTCCATAATGATTGGACACGGCAATGAGGTCGTACACATAAGGCCTTGCTGACAGGTCACAGACAAACTCAGACATGTTCAGAGCTCTGAGCACAGAAAACAAAAATAACCCTTCAATACATTAAACTCAGAGAAAGAAGTCAGAGCAACCCAGCAACCCCTTTCGTGCAACAGGCTATAACACAGGGAGGCCCTCAGAAACTAAGTGCAGAAGGAACGAATGAACAGTCCAGACAGAAGGAGCCCTGGGGTCTTGCTCTGACCACTGACATGTTCAGAATGGAAAAGAAAAGTCTTAGCCGAGACCAAATGTCAAAGAAGGGCTCTGGGCAGACACGAGGGCTGCAGCAACTT